ACCTTTGTAAATATAACTTACCTGTAAATAGCTCAAAACATTTGTTATATCTTTTAAATTTATATATTACTGTAATAGCTTAGCTTATCCTTATCATATTCTGCATGTAAAATAATTTTCTGGCACACGCCCCCCGTGGAAATCAGCTATGGTTGACGGGGTCAGCGTGGATAAATAAAGTTCTACTACTACTATGCATACTAAATTTTATATTCTCGCGGTGAAAGCAATATTTTACTTATTCGCTACGCTTATTCGTAAAGTATTTTTTGCGCCACTCGAAATCCTAGTCCATATCTTAATTCGCGCAGCCTTATATCCCTCCCCTGCATGCATGTATAATTGTTTAATTCGTATTTTCATGATAGACGACATCTGGTACGTTGGATGGCTAAAATGGGTACTTTGGATGGCAATTTTGGCTTGGTTTGTTAGTTATCTTGGATCCCAATATTTAAGTGCCTGATCCAGCTATGGTAGAGGACAGCTCGAACTTTAGAAGGCCAAATGAAACCTCAAGTGAAGCTTCAAGCTCAGGTAATTGTTTCATCTGTTTTTCAAGTGCCTGATGCAGCTATGATAGAACACAGCTCGTAGTTTTAACAGTTTGTCAGCCATGTTTGCAGTAAAGTAACAAGCGCAACTGGTCTCACATGTACTTCGCAACTGGAATTCTATCGGAATTTTGTTGTAACCATGAACCATCAAATAAAAAATAAACACGTTATTTACCGTTTAGGTCGGTCCGTACTAAAAGATATGTTCCCTCGGCTTCAGATCGTCCCTCGGCCTTCGGCTTCGGGCTGCTTCTGAGACGTCGGGAAAATATTTTTCCGTACGGACCTCGCAGCCGGTAAATAACATGTATGTATAATAATTGCTGTAGTTGTCAGGAAGGAACACACATATAATAACTACAGTGAAACACGCTTTTTTATTTGATCAATAGCCGTGCAGGATCAGGCTATCCTGCACGAGGAATTAAAATGCCTTCGCGGGATTTTCGCGGGACTCTCAAAATGTCATTGTTTCACTGTAGTTATTTTATAAAACAACAAGACGCTCTATTGAGCGTTAGTCGCTGGGGCTATTGGCAGTGCATTTCTAAGGATTCTTCGGTGGTGGGGCAAAGCTGCCAAAGGGCCCATTTTCCTCGCCCTCCCCCCTGGATATAGTGTGCGATCGCCGAAGGTGTGAGGCGAGTGCCGCAGGCACAAGTTAGCTAGGGGGATCTGGGGGCATGCCCCCTCCAGGAAATTTTTAAAATTTGGGTCTCTGAAATACCTTTTCCTGCATTCTTAGAAAACATTTAAAAAAAATGTCAGCTTCTCAAAACAAAGTTTTATTAATGGTGAAATTTAATTGTAATAAATTGCACGCTAAACATTCAAACACAACATAAATTTAAGTATGCTCACCAACAAATTTTGTTTTTGAAACTTCTTTTCAATGATAAACTCATTTACTCAACTAGGGCCATCAAACGAAAAATCATGACAAATCAAACTCTGAACGTAGTTCGCTTAAATGCAGTTGATTTGATGAACGAATACTTAATAGGCCGTTTTAGCTAATTTTCAAAACTTGGGAAAGTGCTTACCTAAGTTTAAAAGCTGATATCTTGGTAAATATTCGATGAAATCGTGTGCATGACCTATGAAAATTTAAGTTAGTCACTTCTGAATACGATAAATGTTATTTGAGCGAAACAGCTGTTCTAGTTTTTCCGTTTAATAGAATCAAACACGGCGCCACCCGGTATGGTTTTGATAAATGAATGCAAAGCCCAGTTGAACTGCATTCGCGACTCAACGTTTCGACACTCCAGTCTAATTTCTTCAATCTTGACAATGAGTGCTGTTTTGTTTTCTGTGTTGTTTTATTAACTGATTCACGGTTTTATATCATACCTCATTTGTTAATAATTTTGATTACTGTATACATTTTTGTGCAAAGTTTAGCCGAGCAGAAGCACGCCTTGAAAATTTCTGAACACACCCTTATAATAATGTGTAACCACAAAACAGGCTACCATTGATATCCAAAAATGCCAAAACCAATATACACTGAACAGCACCCAGGGAAATTGGGGTGCCCAGTACAAAATTTGACTTTGGCCCCCTAGTGATTCCATCTTCTAACACTATGAGTAGGAGGGTCCAGAGACACTGTCTCGGAAATGTTTGAAATCTGAGGTCCCAGAAATGGTCAAATCCTGCATTCTGGAAGTCTGTTGACAGTTATATTTATATTTTACTGTATTTTTCATTCCCCCCCCCCCTTTTAATTGGGACGCGGGGCAAATTGCCCCCTCTGGGCGACCCTGACGGCACCTGCAGTTACGAGTATCTATGACATCGTAGTTTCATAATCACTGCTTGCAGGAAAGAAATATTTTCGTTTTGGCGAATGTAAGGCGGCTTAGGCGTGACATGCACCCACATAAAATGTTGTAATCTACAATCGTGCACAAAATATATTGAAACTTTTTAAATCACTCCCCTCCCCCCTTATTTCAATGTTGAAAGCCTATTGTACTTATCCAAAACGAACATAAGATGACACTAGAACCGCAACCGTGTCAATGGCAGTTGAAATTTAACATATGATGTTCAGGAATTAAACTATATTGTACCGCCTAACAACATTGAAATCGGGGGGGGGGGGGGGT